CTATGGGTTTGTGTTTGTTGATTCTGTTGAATGTGATGTCTGTCTGTAGTGTCTCTTTATTCAACATCAGCTGATCCAGAGAAGATCAGACCAACATTTTTAATCTGAAAGTAAAACACAGAGAGTCAAATGTGTGTGACATTACTGCAGTATCCATGTTAGAAGAACTAAAACAAACTATTTGCATTATATGTCAATGATAACAAACAAGCATTATCTTGCATTGTTATTCGCTGCTGTGATAAACCCTGTCATAGCAATTCTACTGCAAAAGGGGTTGCCTACACTGCAATCACATTCTTCACACTGTCACTTTTTTACTATGATTATGGGTTTGATAACATCAGTTTGATCAAAGTATTGTTTACATGAGGTAAGGTTTAATCAGAATTTTGCTTAAATCTCATTATAATCACATTATGAGGGTACATATAAATGTAGTCAATGATAAAAGCTAAATATTGTATTGTTTTGAAATAAAGTTAAGAATCAAAATCGTATTAAACATGTTTATAGTGTGTAAATAACTATTACCAAGAAAGTGACCTAAGACAAAGAAACTATTAACTTTTAATTAAAATTCTAACATTTTGAATCATCACTAGCTCACATAATCATCTCCAGTTTATAATGTGGATCATCCTTCAGATCAGAGAGCAGCTCCACATCTGAGTCTCTTAATTTATTTCCAGACAGATCTAGTTCTCTGAGGTGCGAGGGGTTTGATCTCAGAGCTGAAGCCAGAGCAGCACAACCTTCATCTGTGACTCCACAATCCCTCAACCTGCAGAGAACAATGACATTTCTTCACTCTCTTAGTTCATGATCTACAGCTCAGATAAGCAGGAACTTCACTATCAGAGAGAAAGACTTAATCCACAACACTATTAACGATCCAGTCTAAGATTCAGAACAGCTTCTTAAAGGGTTAGTTCACCCAAAAATGAAAATTAGGCTGTGTTTTACTCACCCCTGAGGCATCCTAGGTGTATATGACTTTCTTCTTTCAGACGAATCCAGTCGGAGTTATATTAAAAATTGTCTTTGATCTTTCAAGCTGTTTCATGGCACTCAGCGGGTGTTGCATTCCTTCGGTTCAAAAGACGTGAAATAAAAAGCGCCCTTCCATAAAAAAAAAGTGTCTCACACGGCTCCGGGGGCTGAACAAAGGCCTTCTGTAGCGAATCGATGCGTTTTTGTAAGAAAAATATCTATATTCTAAAACGTAATGATCACTTTAATCTAGCTTGCGCTCACTGTTGTAAACTAAGCAGTTCCAGGAGGATGACGTATGAGGTCAGCGTTGTGCGTGCGCCGGTGAGTCTCGTGAAAACCAACGTTTGTTTACAGGAGCAAAGGAAGCAAAGTTTCCTTACTTTAGCAAAGGAAAACCAGCCTCCTCTTGGCTTATATCGAAATCCTCCAACATTCTTCTTTACAAATCCTCGTTTTGTACTTCTAATTAGTGACCGTTGTTTTGTTTCGATCTCTCCGCGAGCGTCACTTCTGAGCGGTGCATGCTCAGCACTGACCTCATACGTAATTCCCCCGGAACTGCTTCCAGTGTACTAGATTCAAGTGATTATTACGTTTTGAATATGGATATTTGTCTTACAAAAACGCATCGATTCGCTACAGGAGGCCTTTGTTCCCCCCCTGGAGCCGTGTGAGACACTTTTT